AGACCGGGATCGAACACTTGACCTCTGGATTAGCGAGCCAACGAACGTCTATGTCATTGAGCCATTAAACACTAGAACATTAAACCCTATTTCATATTTTTTAAATATTTAACTAAGATGGTTTGTGGCAGCATATGTACCTACCGTCCTCGATTACATCTTGCTTAATGACATCTGTATATTTAGAAATGAATTATTAAAAATATCATCTAAATATTTATAGTTATTTGGTTCAATAACTAAAGCCTGGGGGTTAATGTTAGTTAGTTAGTTGAACATTGTGTTCTTAACATAACTAAAAGGCTTTCCTGACATTTTGTCGTTGGTCATTACAGTGTGGCGTATTTCATAATAAGAAGGTCACCGAAATCTTGACCTTATTAAATCAGACAAATAACTGTTGTTGCATAAAACTTCCTGATTTCAAGGTAAAAGTATCGAAAAACATTGACAAACTGTTTAAAAGGTTAACAGGGGCAGGCAATTTAGCTTTGTTTATATACTGAAAATCACCAATACAATGTGGGGGTATGTTTGCAATAGCCCCTGTCTGTCTGTCCGTCTGGCCATTTTGAGTTTGGTTTGTTCAACAAGTCATAACATTATGATAAATGATAATATGTGGTTTAATGTCCTACTGTTCTGCACTGATCAGGCTAATGAAGGCGGACATACGCCATGTAGTGTGCTATGAGGCACATTTGCCCGGACAGCGGCGTTTTTGCCTACTCGTCGTCGAATTCCAATATGCCAATGGCCATTTTACGTCCACGTCGACGCGTAGACGGGTCCTCTGTTTTCGTCCCATACTGTTCCTCGTCATGCCACTCTTTCTACGTCACTGACAAGGGGAAACATTACGGCTCTTGTGACTAAAGGACTATCAATGGTATAACAGAAACTTCCGAATGACAATAGGCTTTTCCTGCACCAGTGAACAATGACATGGGGAAACCAGGCTGGAAAACCCCGAGGCCTTTTCTTAACCAACACTGGGATCGAACCCAGAACACCGTGCTTTGTGAGCATGCCCGTACCTAGCGGGGTGGGGTGGGCAAGAGGGACAGCTGCCTCCCCTGGAAAAAATCGGAGCACCCAATAATGCCTTTGGTAGTCCCAACGATCGGTAGCCCCATTGAGTACAAAACCAACGACGAACGTGGCTCGCCCCCCTACCCCCCCACCCCCCGCACACTAGCTAGGAGCATGTAGGTCAGTGTCGCGTCATACTCGACGAGCCAGCGTGATACCTATCATATTACCTCAGATCAATCTAAGTAATAATAGATATTTAATGCATGTTTGCGTAAACAAACAGTGTGTGAACAATGAATGCAAGTTATCGCAGGTAATTATCACCTTATGGCGGACCAGATAAATATTCGGGTGGAGTCTGATCACGACGCCCCCTGGGAAACCTTTTAGATGATGCATAATTTAAATGATTAGTTTACTTCCATATTCGTTATCTTTGTTATATTAATATTACTTTTAGATAATAAAGCTTCGAGAACTATAAAGACCTAGAGTGTGCAGATATTGTTGGGGGCGTGGGGCTTTATTAATGTAATTTTGTTCAACATCCCATCTCTCCCCATAAACCTTCTGGTTACAAAATTGGATTGATAATAAACTTTGAACATAAGAGACATGCTATCCACAGAGACGAAGGTATGTAAATATACGTGAATTTAGAAATGAAATAAATAAAATAGGTATCTATTTCCGTCAATGGCGATTGTTGTATGTAAATATATATATACACACACTATATGGTGGTTCTTCGTTTGCAAAATTTTGAAAAGTAAAGGGGTTACTCTCAAGTCAATTTTAATAGGTTTGAACGAAATGTACAATAATTGTGTATCATCTGCAATCCGCGTGTAGAGATTCGAAAATTGCCGAAATCAGGATTTTTCAGGGAAAATGTGTCTTTTTCCTAGACCCCTACTTCTTCTGTTCTGGCTACCGGTGTAACCCAAAGGATCCGTCCTCGAACTGATCTTGTTTAGCTTATACACTAAACCACTTGGTCTCATAGTAAGACATCATGAATTATTTTTTCATATTATGACTGCGGATGATACACAATTGTACATTTCGTTCAAACCTATTAAAAGTGACTTTCAAAGATGAATATTAAAACTTAGATGAAAAAAAAATAATTTTTTAAACTTAATACAGATAAGACCAAATATTTGGTTATTGGGTCTTCTTTAAAAAGGAAAATGTGAAACTTTGATTTATCCATACAGGCAGGTGTCACTTATCAGTCAGCCAGAAATATTGGTGTGATTTTTAATTTCAGGTGATAATTTGCTCCATACTGAGAAAAATGCCTATCTCGTCAGTTTCAGCGAGAAGATTTTTGAGGTTGCTGCCCCAAAACTGTGGAATTTTTCTCAATAAGGAGAAAATTATCACTTGAAGACCAATTGTCGACGAGATTCATTAAAAACATAAATGATTACTAAAATAAGTAGGTGTTAGGTCATTTATACATTTAAAAACTAATAATAAAATCTTATATTCAATTCTAAAAATTACAGGAAGTGAGTGTAGTTTATAGGTGTGATACGATCTCTATATAATCTTCTAGAAATAAAGTGAGCAGCTGAATTTTGTAACTTTTGCAGCTTGAATGTCAAGTTGTTTTAGGGGTACACAATACAGGACAGAATTAAAAGATTCTATGTGAGAAATAACTAATGAATTTATTAGTGTATTAAAGGGACAATAACACTCTTGCTGGCTTGACAGCTCCAGAAAATAAATAATAGCCTTATTCTAGATGTTTAAGTATCCTACCTGTTGTGTATATTATCCATTAAATCCTATTTTACTTGTCCAGAGGGTTCGAAAATATTTTTAAATCCAAGTCACATTTGAAAAGCTTTACGTTAGACTTTTCAAATCATTTAGTTGAATTTTTCCAATTTTTTAAATTAGGTGTGTTAAGATATAATTTGTATCATCAATTAATTGGAATATTGTAAAATAGTACAATTTTTTGACCAGAATAAAGATCGGGACATATTATTCAGTTACAACAGGAGTGGTATTGAGCCTTTAATATTGATGTATTTCACTTTTGTTTCTTAAATTAAAATAACTTATTTTACAGATATTGTTTATGCGATTTTCCAAAGACAAAGTTGAATTAAACATTACACCAATATTTCCGGCTGACTGGAAGTGACAATGCAACAACATCACCTGCCTGTATGGATAAATCAAAGTTTCACATTTACCTTTTTAAAGAAGACCCAATAACTAAATATTATGTCTTATCTGCATTAAGTTTCAAAAAATTGTTGTTCATCCAAATTTTAATGTCTGTGATACAAGTTTTAATATTCATCTTTGAAAGTCGATTTTAATAGGATTGAACGAAATGTACCATTGTGTATCATCTGCGCGGATCCAGGGTTGGGGGGGGGGGGAGGGCATACGAACAGTGACGTGCAAAGAGGGGAGTAGTGGAGGTGACGACTATGGGCATCAAATCAGAGAGTGACCAAAAAATGTTTTCAAAAATTTGAAATACAGTCTAATTAGTAATATTGAGGAATTATACAATCTGATTTAAACACAGATCCTATTTCATTTCGTTTTACTTGTCTTTACTACAGAGACAACCTGACTTACACTGGCCAACGGGTTGTACTATCTGGATTTGAGCCTGCTTGATTACCAGATATTACAACCTTCCCACACGAGGCATTAAAACATATTTATGAAAATACTTACAATCTGATTTCCGTATGATGAATAACAATACACTTTATAGATCTTATAAATAATGGAAATTAGATATACATTTCAATTAATATACCAAACGTTACAAAATATGATTCTTCATATTATGGTTAATCCATTGAAATGAATACTATAACATGATCATTATTATAAATGATTATATATGTATAAGTCCATTACAGAACGGAATAAAACATTTTATCCCTAAATTTCACGGAACTTCCTTGTCATTCCACCGTTTATTCCGTAAAATAACAGGATTAAGTCCATTATAGAAGGGAATAAAACATTTTATCCCTAAATTTCACGGAGAGTTCCTGTTAAATACTGAATATTCCACAGAAATATATAAAACACGTAATTTCAAGAAATAATTCATGCTTTTAACACAATTTTACCAAAAAATCCTTCGATTAACAGAAAAAAGGTATTAAACTACGGAATTCGGCCACATCAAAAATGGATATTTTTTACAGTGTAGGATCTGGAAGATATGTTATCGTTGGCGTGTTCTGGATGATGTGAGTGATTAGCCGTGAGGTGCACGGAACTGTAGGTAATCCACTAGGAACATCAATGCTGATTAGTTAATCAAATGTCAGACGTCATAGGGCCAAAAGCCGCTCGTATGGCCTCTGACGCGACCTCCAAAAACAACTGGTCAGATGTTCATGTATTGTAGGGCATCGAAAGTATAAAAAACGAAACGAAATACTGATCTGTATTTTAATCAGATTGGAGGAATTACCGACGTGCAAGAGGGGAGTAGGGGAGGTGGCGACTATGGGCATCAAATCAGACTGTGACCTAAAAAAAAAAGCTTTTAAAAATTTGAAATACAGTCTAGTTAGTATTATTGCGGAATTATCGAGAAAACTATTCATTCAAGAAATGCTTCTAAACCAAATGTGAAACATGCCTGTTATCAAACGTAAATAGAGTCGAACTTTCTTAATTTGTTTATTTAGACATGACAGACGTATCTTAAACGTCAGACCTAATTACAGGTAACCTAACTGATTTGACCTATAATCCGATAAAGGTGACCTATATTGTCAAGTGTAAAAAGTAAATAGTGTTATGAAAAAAACTTGCTACTGTTCCTTTGTCATTGGCGTTCGCATTGTTCTGCACGTATTATTAATTAACACTTAAATTATATGCGTATAAACTAAAAATAGCGAAGTGCACAATATTGGTTGAGGGGGTAATATTTTGGAGTTACATCCCTTGAATTTGATTCCAAACGCTATTCCAGAAAATACTAGAATATCTCAAAACATTATATATCAGTTATCTAAGATGACGAATTTATACAACGCAAAATTACCAACACACGATGTGCAAGTAAGTACTTGTAATAATTCAAACTGTCATTTACCATGCATCATTACATGTAGGCCTAACTAAACTATGAATTTCTGATAAATATGTGCTGTGTATTTCTATCATACATGTATATAATAGCATTTATTGTAATATAGCTTAGTTATAACGACATTTTCTTCTTTCCACACTTCCGTATTTCGCGTTTCATTGTTGGCTCAATCCTATGTGATAATTATGTATATACCCACTGCCCAAAAACTGCGTTTATGTCATAAATTTCTTTTGTCCAACAATATAGAATTCAGATAACAGTACATGCAATTCAGTTTAACAGTTAACATGATTCTGAAATATTACAGTAGCCCATGGTTACAACCGTTAATTATATTATTTTTTTTATATTAACTACGAAGCTAAAATTAAAAGCTTAATCATTTAATGTCACTTATGGTCTTTAAGATTTAATTATCTTTTTTACCTCCTATTTCGAAGCTTTCAATAGCGACAGTTGGTCTTGCCTCAACAAGCCCGGATAAACGCTTATTTTCAATGCATTCTTATCACATTTAAAGCTTAACCCATCACTGAATATTTTATATTGCCATTGTTTAATTGTTGATAGCCATTTTAGGGACATGTATAACACTTTTGACGCCACCATCTGTCGCGTTTTACAGTAATTGCGTAGTACAAAGAAACCGCATTATTGTCTGGGCACGAGCTACCTTTCACCCTGGCTCTTCGTCCAATCAGATTGCGATATTTCATTTCGACCCGCCCACCTTAGATTTCTGTTAACATTCAACAGTTCAATAGTTTTATTGAGATAGATATACGTGTTGATTCTGTGAGTAACGTGATCGTTTTTCTATTAATTAAAGGATGACTTTACCAGAAGCTGGAGAGGCAGCAGCTTTTCTTAAGCCAGAAAAGTAAGCAAATCTGATATTTTTATCTTAATTTTTGCGCTAGAATTTGTTTTCAACTGTTTCATATTTAGCCACGTGAATAGCTTCTTTTGTGACAGGTAAAGATGACAAAGGGGAAATCAGCTGATGGTCATAGATATTATTAAGAATAACGCAGTAAAATGTTATTATACAGTCTGGCCAGTGACCGTGTTAGCATAACAAATATCGCATGATGCAACACTGCTGCATTTTTACTAATTATGGAGACGTTTGTGGTTGCGTAAGCTTCTCAAGCGCCAGGCCATGTCTCCTCCTTTTGAAATGTTCATTTGTGCATAGGCCCTACAGCCAAACCCACCCAGGATTGTTCATTATGTTATTAACAGACATCCAATGCAAGGTCGATAAATTAGAGAATATTTAATTTGCAAAATGACCGCAGTGGAGCTGTAATTAAAATAGAAAGTTAAACAGAATGTTTTAGAAACAAAGGTCTTATTTTAGTCGGACTACGTGAGTTTATGTGACCTAGATTGACCTTCCTTTAGTGTTCAACTTGCCTCGTGGAAAGCAAACAGATGGCGAGCTGATAACTTAGATTCTCAAAGTATTCAGCATTTAAAATTATGATAAGATCTTTTGACTCGCAATTTTAGCCCACTCAGCTACGCATTCGATAAATCGGGGTTGCTTGCAGATGTTTTCCCATTTCTGATGACGTCACAGACAAGTTCGTCCCGTGACTAACGTCATGAAATCGTGATCAGACTGGTTACCATAGATAAACAAAACAATACCAGACGGTGTTTTATAACTAGGCCTGTTTACTATTATTTACTGGAAACCACTAGCGTTTTATTTATTGCAATGAATTATAATAATGATTATGAAAGTAGCGGGGTCCTGATATTTTGATAAAGTCTAATAGCATAACTGTTTGTTTACATTCCCCATTCCGTACCAAGTTACAGGCCAAAAATCAAACGAACTAAATGATGATCATAAATAAATTTGCACTTTAGGATATAAGACTGTAATATTAAGGTCTAAAATAGACAGCAGGCGCTCGCCTCTCATATTTATCACCACCTTGCTATAGAAAATGGTTGAATAAGCATAGATAACTGTTGAATAAGCAAGCGTTAAATTATGCTATAAAGTATAGAGATTCCAGTGACCACGTGGCGTTGGTGGATAATATATTACAACAAACAGACAGTAGTTCACTTATGTCTTAAACAAAATAATTTTGCTAGATTATCGGATCGGATATGGTACTTCGGTTTCAAGTATAATACAACCATAATCCTGACATTTTAATGGCCCTATTCACTTATGATCATTCAAGATGCTGGTAACGAATGTCTTTTAGAGGGTATTTTGCCCATCCTTATTCGTCTGAAACGTTACCTTGCAATTTTCCCACAGAGCTCCATAATGATTAGATAGAGGGGAAAATGGGGTTTAAAGTCCACTCGATACAAACTAGGTCATTTCGGGACTAACATTCAATTTTATTTCAATAATTCGCTTGCGTGTAGGGGGCTTTAGCAGTGGGAGAAAACCGTAGGGCCCGGAGAAAACCCACGAGGTTGCACAGGTGACCGAAATCCTCGTCACGCACAAGGGGGAATCGAAACCACGCCACTTGACGCAATGATAGACCTGATCCAACGCGCACTAGTTAGCCATTCGGCCACCCAACCCCCAGGGAAAGAGACAGAAATGGTGTTTAACGTTAACTCGTCACAAACTAGGTCACTTCGGGACTAACATCGTTCGATGTGGGAGAAAACCGAAGGACCCGGAGAAAACCCACGTGCTTGAACATAATGGCAATGTATATATCTGGACTATTGGAAACAGATTTTCAGTTGATTTATAGAATGATTCCTTGTATTTACTAACGTTCTTTTTTGCTCTTTCAGGAAATGTTTGAAGAAGTACATAGGGAACTCTCTAAGAGAGAGTATGTGGCAAGCTATGGAAGAGCAGAGAATAACTTGTGGTGTTATTGACTGCGCTAAATTATTAAAATGGTGATTAATTAATTAATTTACTATTTCATTTATCTGATTCTTAATTAACCGTAGAAGTACCTACACCTTTTCAAGTTTGCTTAACTAAACCCTTATTTTATCTGCCGTTTGATCAATTAACTTGTATGTCAGAATTGTTTCTGGCCATGGTTTTGTGTAGCTCACTCGGAGAAAGACGTTGAAATATATCTTTTATACAAACAATAAGTTAGGTTTAAGAAATTATATTTGAATTATAAAATTTTGTTTTTCTAGCTATTACGAGAATGTGATGTTATGTGTTTTACCGGAGGCTGGTAGTGAAGAGGTATCGGTTCATATTCAGCATACATTAATTGAAGCTTTCTGTTGGGAAAATGATATAAGAATCCTGAAGGTAAGTTCTTTGATCTTTGAGAAAAGTTGGTTAAGCGTTTTAGTAGTCTAACGCTGCGCTTTAGATTATAAGATCTGTCAATGAGTCAACTGATCTGATTTCGATCCAATGCGGCGGTTTGGTGGCCGAATGGTTAGCTCGTGCCCGTCTGTCGTTGAGTCAACTGGCGTGGTTTCTATTCCCCGGTCGTACGGGACAAGGATTAGGGTCCCCTGTCCAACCTCGTGGGTTTTCTCCTTGTCCTCCAAACAAAGACAAAGACCCCTACGCACATGCGAATTATTGAAATAAAATTGAACATATGTTAGTCTCGAAATTATCTGGTTTGTGTAGAGTGGTAGAATCGACGTTAAAACCCCCCTCTCTCTCTCTCTCCCTCTCTCTCTCTCTCTCTCTCTCTCTCTCTCAAGCTTGTACAGAGAAGGAGTAGGATCATCTATTCAACCTCGTGGCTTTTCCACTTAAGCACAAGTGAATTCTTGGAATGGTAAATCCTATCCCCCCCCCCTCTCTCTTGACTAAATAGGTACATGCAAATGTGTTTTATATTCAATCAAATAAGATGAAAAAGAGAGTTTGAATCTCCTAACTTAATTATATTCAATCAAATAAGATGAAAAAGAGAGTTTGAATCTCCTAACTTAATTATATTCAATCAAATAAGGTGAAAAAGAGAGTTTGAATCTCCTAACTTAATTATATTCAATCAAATAAGATGAAAAAGAGAGTTTGATTCTCTTAACTTAATTATTTCTGCTGTAAGATTTATTACATTAAGAGACATTTAAAAAACAAAAAAGAAAAAGAAAAAAAAACAATTTATTTTCCAACTTTGTTTAGATTACTGTAAATAAAATATTTATTAACTGAAATATTTGGATTGGTTCAATCAATACACACAATCATATACTTCTACCTCCAACATTATACATGTAAGTTTTCTGTATATATTAACTGTTACTTATAATAGTCGATGTGAGTATTATATAGGTGATTTACCTTTTACAAGGTGCGCAAAGTTCACACCGATCAATGAATATATATATATATCTCTATACAGTAGAGACTATAATATCTGTGTTAAGTAATAGGATTTCCTCTATTTATTCACAAGAGCAAAAACACCTATAAAACATGATTGTATAAATAGTTAAACGGAAAATAAATTTCCACGCTTCTTTGTTTTAAATGAATTTGGCGTCGTTTTTATGTAGGCTTACTGGTTAACACACGTATGATATTGTTACGTAAATTTCTATAGGTTGCAAGGATTTCTATGTATGTTCCAATAATAGATTTAAAATTGTCATTCATCATTTTAAAGACGTTTAAAGACAAATGTATGAATATTTAAATGATATATCTATATAATATTACACGATTAGTAATTTCACACTTTTTTTATTTGAATATTTTGATAAATGATAGGTCTAACATTAAAATTATTGTGTACTGTCGTGTAGTCAGGGTTATTATGAAATGCCACCTAATCAATACTTGATATACTTGAAACATTTGGTAGAAATCGACATTAATATTTCGCTGAATCTCATTTGTACTGTATTCACAGTAAATTGAGTTCGCCCACACTAACACAATAATAATAATAGGTATATAGTATCACATGTTATTTGTTTTTCATTCAACATACGACTCAACTAACACCCACCATTTCACAACATAATTATGTGACATTTACACAAAAGTTAATGGTGTGTTTATTCCGAACTTGTAATGCATACTATAGAGTTAAATGTGCGTTTTATGTTACATCGACTCCAGAATTGAAAGACCATTGTAATAAACAAGCCTAATCCACTGAGAGCGATGGTGATCGGATATGTGATTTAAAGCAGCAAATCTAATAAAATTATCTAGAAAATTGCTCACAAGTTTGCATGAATAACCCCATTCACTCATCTGATATTCGTTATCAGTGATTATCTTTAAAATGGTGACGTGTTTCAAATGGACGAATGACGGAAGAAAAAAAAATAATCTCCAAATAGAATTTTTTAAAAATAAATGGCTAATTAATTTATGAATATAATTCAATATGTCTGACTTAGGAACCCAGTTAATGTATTCAAAGTTGTTACGCAAATTTATATTTGTAGGTGTGCTTAAATTATGGAAGTCTTTTTTTATGTAATGTTTTGTTAAAAGTTTAAATTTAAACATACATTATGCAAGAGCTAAATGAAGGTTTTTCTTTAGGCCTGAAATGTTATCTAAATTATTAGACATTAATTGACCTATCCAGACCAAAATCAACTCTAGATGGCATCGCTAGCCTGTGATCTTTAGTGGATTATGAGCCGATTTACTGCATAACTTCCCTTCACGATTTAACGATTAAATGGATAATCTAGACTATGCTGTTTATCGTATTGACTTTAGTATTGATGATCGAGTCTAGGCGGAAATTTCAATTGCTTAGTTCTCGGTTCATAATGGATCAATTTGATTGAAATTTTCCGCAAATTGCCATTACATTGTCTAGTTTTTATCTATTATAATGAGAACTGCCAACTCGTTATCGAATCTCCCATAATGTATCTTTAATAAATTCAATAAGCCGATTTAGTAAAACCCCAACTTATTACGAAAATGTTACCTGGGCACCAGGCCTGATATAGAAATTCAGAGAAAGTCGTAAAATATGCTCATTTGTGTTGATTTCAAGCATTTGTATCATCTTTGCTTTCAGGTTAAAAATCAACTGGCAGTAGGTGAGATATTGACTGGAAGAAAAGGACCGTGTGTTCCAGACAATAATAATATTGAAGACCAGGTCACCCTTACTGACACAAGTTGTGTAATGATTGAGGTAAATCTATAACTATCTACATTTGTTGTGGTTGATAAAAGTTTAATAACGTCAGTGTTTGCGAGTAAGTTCCCCTTTTTCAAGATACAGGACGGAAGGCCTGCTAAGGAACAGTGTCTAGTCGTTCGGATGGCACGAAAAACCGAGGTGCCGTGTACACATTGGCGTGCACGTAAAAGATCCCTTGGCAGTTGGAATTATATACAAGAGTAGGCCATAGTACCACTTCCCGGGCAAAATTTACCTCATAGCTACACCGATGGCGTATGCCCGTCTTCATTAGCCCAGTCATTATCCCAGTCGGAGCAGAACAGTAGGACGTTAAACCTCATTTCACTTCACTTCACTTTAGTGCCAAAAAGTAAGACGTTAAACTCCATTTTATTTCATTTATTGAAGATTTTCTCTGGTTTGTTTCAGTATCCCGTGAAGAGGATGAGTATGGAAGATGAACATGTTATTGAGTTTCACGACGATGTTATGTTAAATGATGTTTATCCTAAACCTGTTATAGAACTTCCTATTTGATCATCAGTCTTAAAACATAATCTCACTTAAAACTAAGGTAAAGCCAATATAATTAAACTATTTGGCATGTTCGTCTTATGAGAAACCTTGTTATCGTTTTGAGGCAGCATGATTGAGGATCCAGCCGTTAATCGTTGCGCTAAGCGGAAGCAAGAATTTGCGCATGAAAGTTTACGGATCCTGTATGTGGGTTCTAAAACGTGTGGAAATATAGTGCCCCCCCCCCCTCCTCCTCCCCCAACACACACACACACGAACGAACGAACGGTTAGAAGTAATCTGCCCTATCACATTTTGTCGTTAGATCGGTTGCATGGACATGGAACTAATGTTGATTTTAATGGCATACAGAACATTGAATGATATTTGGGTTGATCCTGATCAGTTTTCAGAAAACATCCAGCAGAACCTTTTGTGAATTGTTATTGTTAATGGATTGACCTTGTTCTTTTATTACAGGTTACCACAGATACCTTACTTCAGTATTCTAAATAAGGACATGATGTCCTTGTCATCAAATCAACCACCCAATCACGGTTAATCATCTTGGCCACGTGGTCAACAAGGCTAGTAGAGACGTGTTACGTCAGCGAAGATGTTGATGATGTCAAACTGGTGGGTTGAGGCCATATACTGACGAACAAATACATGCAAAGCTACGTGAAGAAATAGCTGACCAACATTTCAGCATCGATTTTAATGAAAGCCGAACGAGAACAGCCCAGAATGTACACCTTGTATGGGATCATTATTATCAGATCATAATGTTATATTCCCTATTATTAGATTAGGAGTTTTATCTAGAAATAGAGAAATTATTATATACATGTAATATTTATTATATAGAATAGATTTATACATTTCTTTATATACAATAAATTGTGTTATCATTAATCTTGTTTTATCTGTATATTCAGTCGGTATATAGCCACTTCTTTGATGTTCTGCATTGTAACTGTTTTGGCGTCATAATACCAACCCTTTATACTGACCGAGATGGGTTTAATGTCCTCTTCTATATCCTGTTATGTCACAGAAAATGACCTAAATGAATATATAAACTGACCATTTTCTAAACTAGTCGGGGAATCGACTAGTAGACTCTAGACCTATAGCACCCGACTGGCAAACAGTCTGATACAGTATAACTTGTTACTTTGTAAAGCGATATTTCCAAGCCAACCGAGACAACAACCGAGAGACACTATCTGCCAAAGAACAGCTGTGCACTTCCCAGTATCTCTGTATAAAGATGGAAGTTTAATAGGCGGGGGGGGGGGTGCCCTCTGTTACCCATTAGTCAGTACCACACCCGATTTGACCATCTTACAAAGGGATAACTACGTTTTAGAAAACCGAGAGCCGTGGTAATCGAGCAATTGGACTCCGATTAGTATTTCAAATTTTATAAATCTGGGTTAATTACATGTACACTATTAGCCGTGCAAGTGGTATGGATCTACAGGATATCTACTTTTTAGGGAATTCTCGGGTTGCCCAAGAAAGTTCCTCCGAGATTTTCTGGTGCGGTTTCCTCTTGTCACCCCTGGCACTTGGAATTGGAAAAAGAGTATAATCCGAGCGCCACTGTCCTGGCAAAATTTCCCGTCTTTTCAAGTTGGTGCAGAAAAGTAGGACGTTAAA